GAAATTTCGTTACTCTCAACCCCTAGATGAATAGCAAATAAACATTTAAATATAAGAGAGTGATTAAAAAATGCAAGTAAAATAATTAAAAAGTAGAAATTTAAATAAATACAATACAATTTTACATATAACAAGAAAGCTATACAATATACAATATACAGTATTCAGGTAAGGGTAAATGGCATTAAGTGCAAACCAGACAGAGTAGTGCAAATAGGCAAAATAGTGCAAATGGAGATTTAGTAATATACGATAAGAGATAGTGTGACAGACAAAGTCTTATGAGGTAATGGCAGTCCAATGCTCCACAAAGTGACTGGTGCAGGCCAGTGAGTGAGTCAGAGAGTGAGTGTGTGTGTGACAGAGTTCAGTGAAACCGTGGTGGAGAAGAGGGGAGAGGGGGCAGAATCGGGAGGGAGTTAAGCTTCCTGACAGCCTGATGGATGAAGCTGTCCTTCAGTCTGCTGGTCCTGGCCTGGAGACTCCGCAGTCTCCTCCCTGACGGCAGCAGCTTGAAGAAGCTTTGCATTGGGTGCGTGGGATCAGCCGCTATGCAAAGGGCTTTTTTAGTGAGACGGGTGCTGTAAATGTCCTGGAGGGAGGGGAGAGAGACACCAATGATCCTCTCTGCAGCTCTCACTATGCGTTGGAGGGTTCTATGACAGGACGCATTGCAGGCTCCAAACCACACAGTGATGCAGCTCGACAGGATGCTCTCGATGGTGCCTCTGTAGAAAGTGTACATGGTGGGGGCTGGTGCTCCTGCTCTTCTTAGTTTGCGGAGAAAGAAGAGACGCTGCTGTGATTTCTTGGCCAGTGCTGTGGTGTTGTACGTCCAGGAGAGATCCTCTGTGATGTGCACACCCAGGAACTTGGTGCTGCTCACTCTCTCCACAGACGCTCCGTCAACTTCTTTTTCGCTGTAAAAAGAAGTTTTCTTCCCACGCACAACGGACACTAATGTTTTTGTCATTTTTTATGGAATCAAACTCAAAGTAAGGTCAGTACTTCCACGCTTTAAACGCTGCACACTCTCTCCCACAATCGATATGTTATCCATTGTTGCTCTGCACACAGCTGTTGTCACTAACGGCGCACTCGCTTACGTCACTGTCATGAGACATTCTCGCAAAAAAATCATGGTTTTAGTAAAGCAGTAACGCAGCGTTCCTAAGGGAAAGTAACGGTAATCTAATTACCGTTTTTGCAATAGTAATCCCTTACTTTACTAGTTACTTGAAAAAAGTAATCAGATTACAGTAACGCGTTACAAGTTACAAGTAACGCGTTACTGCCCATCTCTGGTCATACACATTTGAAATTGCAATGCTCGCATAGCCCTCAGTGTACACTAAAAATCTAAAGATGAAAAACGAAAAATAAAGTAAAATAACATCAAATAAGTCTTATGTACAACACAATACAATACTATACAATTATTTAAACAGCAGTGTCCAACACAATCATAGTGATTGTGGGCCAGTTCGTGTGCAAGTGGGCTCCCACTTGCACTTTCACTGACTGCCCCAGTCAGTGCAATGGTGGTGGGTCAGAGTTTGTATGTTTGGGGTTTTTTTTGGGGGGGGGGGATCAGAAGGAAAAGGTGAATGCAGGTCTGGAGATCATGAGGGTGAGAGCAGGGGAGTGAATTCAGCATCCTGACTGATGGAGGAAGCTGTCTTTCAGTCTACTTGTTTTGGCCCGGAGGCTCTTCAGTCTCCTTCCTAATATCAGCAAACTGAAGCAGTTGTTGGATGGATGAGTGGAGTCACCTGTAATGCAGAGGGCTTTCTGGATGAGGTGGGTGCAGTACATCTCCTGGAGGGAGGGAAGAGAAGTACCTACGATCCTCTCTGCTGTTCTCATTACCCATTGTAACTTTTTTCAGCAGGACCCAGTGCAGGAGCCATACCACACAGTAATGCAACTGGTGAAGATACTCTCAACTGTGCCTCTGTAGAAGGTGTGGAGAGCAGGGAAATTATTTTACTGCTATTGGTAAATAATCATCATCATTACCATTGCATTAATAATATAATTTACAGTATTGATATTGTATTCAGAGGTTTAAACAGTGTGTGTGTCTTTCAGAAAGACTAAGTTGCAGGCAGGAGTCGACAGGAAGTTGCAGAGAGTTTGCAGAAGTGAAAGCAGAGTCTAAGTTATTCTGAGGAGCAGGTTAGACGAGGCTATTTGAATTACTAGGTTATTCAAAATGTCTGTTATACTTTTATATTCTTTTATTAAGCTTTTAGTAGAGGTTCTTGATTAAAACATTTATTCAACATAGTACATATAGTTTCAGTTAGGTTATTGTACCTAAGGATGGGCCTCGGTTCTGGTAAAAGGTCAGAAGTGCAACGGGTGAGATGAGAGAGCATGTAAGGTCAACACATACACACACACACATTAGTTAGACTCATTTATAGGTGAGAAGTTGGTCATGTTTGTCTCTGGAAAGAGGAACAGCGTCTGGCAGGATGTGGGGCTCGTGTTCCAGACGAGATAGAAGACAATGTTCTTTTAAACCGTGTTAAAAGTCATTGTGGTTTTGATTTGACGTATGTATATATTCCGTCTGTGACGTATGAAGGGGCGTCATTAATTCAAACCCTGACGCTATAAAAATCTGTGTATGCTTTGATTAAGTCGAAGATCAATCCCTGTCTGTGTACAGAGTGGTCTTCCCACGTGTGTATTCATTAAAATCAATTGTTTGACCAAGATCTTCTGGACCAATGGTTGTTTGTACTCTCCTTCCTCAATATTTGAACCTTAACAAAGGTTTTCATAATAGGGGTTGAGGCTCTTGCTCCCCTCAGTTTGTGGAGGAAGTAGAGTCACTGTTGGGCTTTACTGACCAGTGATGGTGCTTTTTAACCAGCAGAGATCTTCTGAGATGTGCACACCCAGGAACTTGGTGCTGCTTACCCTCTCCATGGCAGCACCATTGATGGTTAGTGGGGTTTGCACGGTGAGAGTTCTCCTGAAGTCTATGATGATCTCTTTAGTCTTCTCCACATTCAGGGACAGGTTGCTGCACCACTCGGCCAGATGGTTAACTTTACTCCTGTAGTAGGTCTCATCGTTGTTGCTGATGTGACCTATCACAGTTGTGTCATCTGCAAACCCAATGAAAAGGTTGAAGCTGTGTGATGGTGTGCAGTCATGGGTCAGGAGAGTGAAGAGCAGGGGGCTAAACACACATCCTTCGGGAGCCCCTGTATTCAGTGTTCTTGTGCTGGAGGTGTTGCTGCCGACCTGTACTGTCTGCTGTCTTACTTTCTATCAATTTGAGAGTATGCCACAGGGAATCACTGGAGCGCCTGCAACGTTCAAGGGCTTAAAGGAGATAGCTGTTGGGGACATGCAACTTCTGGAAACCATTGTGTACTAGGATTATATAATTGTTTGTGGCAAAACGCTTAAAGAGCACGAACAACATTTCTTATTTTGGCATTGATCTCCAACTCCAGTCCTTAAGAGCTACAGTCCTGCAGTTTTAGATGCAGCCCTACTCAAACACAGCTGAATCAAATGGTTGAATTACCTCTTCAGCATGCTATCAAGTATCATCATGCCAACCTGGTAACAAGCCATTCGTTTGATTCTCGTTGGAGACCCCTGCTTTAACCCTCCTGCCATCCTTTAAAAAACTCACACCCATCACCCTAGGGACCATTCTCAGCCACGCCATAAAAAGACCATATATCCATATTTTATTCCACTTTAAATTAGCCAACCTTGTAAAACTACTTCTCCCTGAAATATTCATGTAAAGTTTTAATTATATTTTCGTTGTTTTAACCCTTCAAATCCCAGTGTTATTACATGAGCGCCCTGTGTTATAAGCCCCAAAAACCAAAAAACGAAACTAAATATTTCCACAAAAAACCAGTTGAAGTAATATGTGATTGTCATTATAAGTAGGCCTTTAGATGGACCAAAGATTGGCACCAACATACATTTTGACCTGCCATTATTTTTTTTGCATTTTTTTTGCAATTTAAAAATTAAAACTTCAAGGCCCTGAGTCTTCATTGACATCCAAGAAAAGAAGAAAAAATAAAATCATATGATGATAATTTGGGGTTGAAAAATAGCGTTTATAATGGAAGTCAATGGGCAGAAAATGGTCCCCAGGGTGATGGGTGTGGGGATTTCTGCTGCTCAGCCATTTTAGGCTGATTTAAGGAATTCACACTGGAATATTAACATTGACAGGTAAAAACTATCCTGTGGCAAGTTTGGTTATATTCCACTGAACACAGTGGAAATGGCAGCCATTTAACACATAGCAGTGGCACAAAAAGGTCCCAAGAAGGCAGGAAGGTTAAGGTGTTGGACAGGCTAGAGGAGTTTAGGTTGAAAGTCTCCATTAACAAATGCCAATTCTGTCATCTTCAAGTTAAGTATGTGAATAACATTGCCACCACAAATGGAATAGCCAACCTTCCAGAAAAGGCTGAAGTGGTGAAACACTGAAAAGTGCCCACTCACTTGAAAGCTTTCAAGTTTTTCCCTAGATTTTGTAATTATTATCGGAGGTTTATAGCAAACTACTCCACCATCATCTGTCAACTGTCAGTCCTCACCAAGAGTTATAGTCCCACTTGGAAGGACCCCAAAATCCAAGAACAATGTAGACACAAACCAAACCATCAGAGCCTTTTGCTGGACAGTGGACTCAGAACATATCTGTGATACATTTTACAACTACCTGTATGGTGTCAATTTCACTGTCAGGACTGACAATAATTCATTAACATATGCACTGACATCTGCAAGGTCAGTGCAGTAGACATCACTGGCTTGCTGCCCTCAACACCTATGATTTTACCATACAATATCATCCTGGGTGCTGACTGTGACAGATCATTCCATATATACATTAAAAAAAAATCACAATTAATTGAAATGTTTTATTTTACCAACAATTGCACACAGAGGCTTTTCACAGATGACGATAATGTGAGAGTAAGCCTCTCTGTGTGATAAAAACTAGACCATTAAGAAACAAAAAATCATAGCAATACATCAAGCAATAATTCACAAGGCATAACAATTAAAAAACAAACAAACAAACAAAAAAAACACCCTCTTTGTGCTTATAACATAATGGTGAAATAAAAAATATGTTGACCTCAAATTACAAAGTGCCTATAAAAAATGACCAAGAACAGTCAGAGGTATCACAACTGGTTTATATAACGTTTTCTTTGGTATGTGGGAAAACCCTGACATGCAGAGTAAATAATGGATAGAATAATGGAACAAAAAATTAAGACAAATTGACTGTACTTCAAAGTCTCTCTTTAAATCTAAGAATAAAACGGTGAATGCTACAGGTACAGAACAGTGTTGAGGAAACACTTTAAGAAGAGAGTGAATGTTAGAGAAAGAGTTTCAGCCTTTCATGAAGCTGCTCTGATCTTCTGATATTTAAATTGTATTTACACTGCTGTAAACTGTATTTACAGCATTTATTTACAGCATTAATTTGGCATGTGTAAGTAAGTAAGTAAGTAAAGTTTATTAATTAAGTGCTTTTCATATACAGGCAGTCACAAATCGCTGTACACACAAAAGTTAAAATAAACAGAACGTTAAGTAACAAAATAGACAATCTAAATAATACAAAAAGTTTAAAAAAAAAGAGCATTTATCAACAGAAGATTTGTTTAAACAGAAAAGTTATAACTGCTTTTTAATGGATTCCACAGAGTCAACCAAAGTGTAGTTGTGGTTGTACACTGTTACACAGCATTGGTGCCACAGACTGAAAGGCTCTGTCCCCTTTCGTCTTCAGTAGTGTACGGGGAAAAAACAAAAAACTCTGAGTCTGTGAGCGGAGACAATGAGCAGCAGTGTATTTTGTAAGAAGCTTGGATAAATAATCTGACCATGGCCAAATAACCTGGCCATTCAGTGCTCTTTATGTGAAAAAAATGAATTTTAAAACGAATTCTAAAATCTATTGGGAGCCAATGTAAAGAATATAAAACAGGAGTAATGTGAGCTCGCTTGCTAGAATGAGTTAGTAGTCTGGCTGCTGCATCTTGTATAGCTTGGAGGCAAGAAAGAGTTGATTTGTCCAAAGTGGTAAACAGGGCATTACAATAATCTAAACGTGATGACACAAATGCAAGAGCAATTTATTCCAATTCAGTTAAGGAGACCATTTTTCGCAGTTTAGAAATAAGATTTTTGAAATAAGAGCGTCTAACCTCTTTCACTGACTCATTATATAAGTGAAGAAGTTCTTTGAAGTGTTCATGATGGACACCACAGAGGCGTTGAAGACCACAAGTTTGATTATTTAACCTGGGTGCGCAGGAACTAACAGAGCAATGCCCAGTTTTGAAAGGAGTAACCTGATTGACAGTGGCAAGACCGTGTTTATTAAAAGAGTTAATAAGGAGCTCAATATTGTCAGAAGAAGTTTTAAAATTAGAAAGACAAGAAAACTTAGAAATGATCGAGTCATCAATAATAAAACCTTGGGGAAGAGACTCTGAGTTGACAGATACATTAAAAGAGAATGACTTATGTTCACTAAAAACAACGTCATTTAAGTTCAAGTGTTCAAGGGAAACACCATAAGTGAAGATCAAGTCCGGAGTATGCTCAGCAGTATGAGTACAACCTGATACATGCTGAACAAAATTCAAAGTCCATGATGCTCAGGAACTCCTTAGTGGTACTATTTGATGAGTGTTCTGCATTACAGTTGAAGTCACAATGACCTTGCCCATTTTAATAGTCGAAGTTAAAAATTATTGCAAGTCTGACAGAAAAGATGCAGCAGAGCCAGGTGGACGATAAATTACAATACCGTACATGGGCTGATCTCTTCCAATTTTTAATCATAATCATCTCAAAAGGGTTGTAGCAGCTTGAAGAGATCATCTGGCATTAAAATGTCTTTTTTAAAAATTAACGCTGTTCCACCTCCTCATCCAGATATCCAAGGTGCACAGAGAAGTGAACAGCCTGCGGGACATAGCTCTAAAAGATGTAAGACTTCATTCTCACGCTGCCATGTCTCAGAGATAAACATAAAAATCAAGCTTCTCTGCACAGAACAAGTTATTTAAGATATAAGACTTGTTGGCAATTGAGCGGGCATTAATTAACATAATTTTAACATTGCAACCCACCGGGACAGGTGTAGGGTGGCCTGGAAGAGAGTCTGCACTATGAGGTAAACCGCACAGCAAATCAGGGTTCCTGCTGCGATGAGCCGTGGCTTTCCATGCTTTCAGATGACAATTCGGGTGGTAAACACAGGGCGTTGTGGGGATTAATCCAGCTCCGACAAGTTTTAGGTGTATATTACTGGCAGTAGCCCAGGGATAAAGCCCCCGAAGGTCTACTTCTCTCTGAAGCCAACAAATCAGCACAAGAAAGCCATCTCTCTTCCCCCACTTCCACCGATGAGGCCTCTGTAGTAAAAACACTTGCACAACATGTAAAGTAAACAAACACATGGACAAAGGCAGCGGCACAGCCAAACACAGGCGCCAGTTTGCCTTCTTTGTCTTGAGAGAAGCACAGCTTAGATGCAGAGTGGAATTACACACAAGTATGTGGAATTAGCTGTATGATCACTTACAAAATGAACTGACAAAAGCGTCATTCAGACCAAAGAAACTGAGGCACCAACCAGACCACCCAAACCCAAATCCAGCATAAAGAGGTTGAGTGAATGTGGTGTTGAAGGTGTGAAGGTGGATAAGATTGCCAGATGAGACTCTGAAGAAGGACAGAGTGCCAGCTGGACAGTCCACATACACCGCTACTCTGTCAGGGATAGAGTAGGAGGAGTAAATGACTGTTTCTTTCCCATTGTGCCAGACGGAATAACCATCACAGCATCGCAAACTCCAGGACTGATCATTCCTTCCAAACAAACAGTCTGTGTCTCTTCTTCTTCCAATTCCTTTGTAACTCACTGATATATGAACATCTCCTGTCCACTTAACCTCCCAGTAACAACGACCAGTCAGACCATTTCTACATAGCAGCTGAGGCCAGTGGCCAAATCTGTCTGGATGATCAGGATATGACTGATCCTCATACATATACGTCACCATTCTGTTGTTATCAGACAGTTTGAGTTTTCCATGTACTGTGTTTGTGTCAAGTGTGAGTTCACAGGAATCTGATAGAGATAAGAAAGACAATCCAGCTTCAGTTACTGATGCATCTATTGATTGACACTCTGATGATGACTCCTGATATCAGAGATGTGAATGAGTGATGATAATGGTTAAATATACAGCTTTGTTCGTTATCCAAACACTTACACTTCCTCAGACCTGGTCCTAGCCATTGAACTTCACCAGACCTCATTCTGAAAGAAGTGACACATTTAAAACAACAGTTGAACCAAAGTGCTTTCCAGGTAAGGTAGACATATTAACAATTCTTGTTAATTCTTGTCTTGTCACAGAAATCAGGTGTAGCTAAAATTCATTGTGTTAACCCTCAACTCTGGAAACTCTGGGTTTTTTGTTCCACAAAGAAAGTTCACGTATCTTTCTTTCAGTTTCTTAAGTGTCACAAAGTCTTTACTCTCTCTGACTAATGACATTCATTGACATGCATTCACATTTCTCAGTTCACTGGATTCAAATGGATGTTCATGGTGACCATGGGCATCCAGATATCTGAACTCCACTGATTAATTTTTTGGTCATACCTGCAAACATTCTGAATTCAAGCTAAACATAATTAGAATGAAACTAATTTAATCAGCTGTGCAGGAACTGAAAGACTTTCCATAATCTCAGAGTTTAGAATTAGACAAGAAGCTCTGGAAGTTCTCTGGTTAGCTCTGGTAGAATATGTTAATAGAAAACAAGTGAATCTAGCTAAAGACAGCTGATTCAAAACTATGAAAAAAGGAAAAAACACACAATACCAGTTTATTTGAAAATGTTAATCCAGATTTTTAATTGTGATCAGTTGAAAAGGTCCTGACCTGAGAGCTTCCAGTGAACAGTTTGGACTTTTCAGCCCCTCAGACAGAAGCTTCATTCCTGAATCCTCCAGGGTGGTGTTACTCAGGTCCAGCATTCTTAGACTGGAGCACTGGGAGGTCAAAACTGAGGACAGAGCTTCACAGCTTCTCTCTGTCAAGTTACAGCCATTCAGCCTGATGAGACAATAATCAAAAAGGAGACATTCTTTATTTAACAGGTCTGGCAGTGACAAAGACAGTAATTAAACTCAGCCTTGCAAAAAATGTGGTTAATCAACATTAATTGACTTAACTTGACTTAACTTTATAGGACATGTTTGGATAACTGGTGAATTTAAATTGGCTGTAGGTGCAGATGTGAGCCTGAATTATTGTCGTGTTCTGTCCCAAGTAAAAGATTAAAAATGGTTCATAATAATTTAGTGATAAAAATGTCATATTTCAACTGTAGTAATTTATATTAAAAAAGAGAGTAATTTAGTTAAAAATATATTCTATACAGTCAGCATTAGTTTTTCTGTATCTTATTTTGAAGGAGTAATCTGTGTTCGCAATGCATTGTGGGAAGCAGAAGCTGCAGTCAGTTAGGAAAAAGCATTGTACAGAAAACCTGCCTATCTGTGTTTAAACTTTATCTCCTGTGGCCTGAATCTTTATATACACCATCGAAAGCAATGGCTGTAAGTTTATTACATGTTCTGGTTTGTCTTATATGTTTATAACAGCTGATTTAGAGATCGTTTTGTGAATGTGTTTCTACCAGGAATTAGCCTTATCCCAGAAGCGGATTTTGCTTAGAGCATGGTCTATTACCATAGCAATGATGCTAGCGATCTAATTTGCATATCAGAGGATTGTTAAAACCACTATTTATTATTACTTAGCAGCTAAGACTAACTTTGATACATGTTTTCTATCACTAACTATTTCTTTTGTGCATTTATTTCACAATGTCAAAGAGCTAAAGGATATTTTATTTTGAGTTAAATTGAGTTTGGCTTGCTGTTTACCTGCGTTAACATACACAGTGTATCCAACACGTATCGATAACAGTATAGTCATTTTGCCTGTGTTACCCCTGTGGTAGATTTGTGACATTTTTAGGGTGTACACACTCTCTTGTCCAAAATGTCTGTGAAGGTTCTCAGTCATCCAGGTCATCGTAGTCTAAGGAGCTTGGAAAGAAAAGCGTCTGGACTTCTTTGAGTTGCTTGAAGACGTTTCACCACTCATCCGAGAAGCTTCTTCAGTTCTAAGGGTCAAATGGTGGAGAGTCCCAGATTTAAACCCAGTGGGAGTTACCCCCCAAAGAGGGACAAAGGACCACCTGATGATCCTCTACCTAATCAGATGAGCCAAGGTGTGAAAGCGGGTGTGGGTCACAATCAGCCAGGGTTTCAGATGAGCTCATTGTGAAACCTGGCCCCACCCTATCATGTGATTTCCTGAGGTCAGATGGCCCAGGATGTGAGTGGGCGTTAAGGCGTCTGGGAAGAGATCTCAAAACTGGATTATAGATGGCAGACAGATGGTGTCGTAAACCACCACCTCTGTTCAAAGATGGTCACTCACAGTGGACGTAAATGGCTTCTTTCACTCCTCTTTCAACCCATCTGTCCTCTCTGTCCAAAATGTGAACGTTGGCATCCTCGAAAGAGTGACCTTTGTCCTTTAGATACAGATGAACTGCTGAGTCTTGTCCCGTAGAGGTGGCTCTTCTGTGTTGTGCCATGCGCTTGTGAAGTGGCTGTTTGGTCTCTCCAATGTAGAGGTCTGGGCATTCCTCGCTGCACTGTACAGCATACACCACGTTGTTAAGTTTGTGTTTAGGAGTTTTGTCTTTCGGGTGAACCAGTTTTTGTCTGAGTGTGTTGCTGGATCTGAAGTACACTGGGATGTCGTGCTTGGAGAGAACCCTCCTGAGTTTCTCTGATACACCGGCTACATAGGGGATGACCCTTTGTAGCCATTTGACCCTTAGAACTGAAGAAGCTTCTCAGATGAGAGGTGAAATGTATTCAAGCAACTCAAAGAAGTCCAGACGCTTTTCTTTCCAAGCTCCTTAGACTCTCTTTTCCAAAGTTAGCGAGGATGGGCTTCATCCACCCTGTGATTCTGAAAAAATATACGCTCTTGAAAAAAGAGAAGTGAGTTTTGTTGGTGACAGAACTGCTGTCTGTCTTGTCGTCCTGTTAGCTTGGTAGGGTGTGGCTAACTGAACAGCAGTGTTGGGGAACAAACAGACATGATATTTTCATATCTATGTTCAGCACATAAGAGATATAATTTTTTTTAAAAAGATCTCAAAGAAGTCATTAAAAAAATTAACTACAACTTGATCTGACCTGAGAGTTTCCAGTAAACAGTTTGGACTTTTCAGTCCCTCAGACAGAAGCTTCATTCCTGAATCCTGCAGGGTGGTGTTGCTCAGGTCCAGGTCTCTTAGACTGGAGGACTGGGAGGCGAGAACTGAGGACAGAGCTTCACAGCTTCTCTCTGTCAAGTTACAGCCATTCATCCTGATGAGACAATAAGCAACAAGATTATTTTTTACACATTGTTTTGTTACATGTTTTCTCATTATGCATTTAATTACCATCATTACTAAATTCATATTCAATTTATTCTGGTGTTGTTACATTTATTTACAGGAAACCGGTGGTCTTAAAATATGTTTTCGTTAAGTTTAAATTCAATTTTCATACATTTCACTTAGAATAAGTTGTTAACATTCAATATACGGTTTGTAAATAGAAGTAAATTACAAAATAGTAGAAAAAGCTATGAACACTTCAGAAGCAGGCTCATATTTATTCTGGATGTGAAAAAGGTTATATGTTAAGCTCCAATAATACAGCTCTTGTCAAACAGCACCAACTAGTTTTATCACATTTTTAATCTAAATCTTGAAGTTGATCACTTGCTGCTACAAGATGAAAATGGGATCTGATCAAACTGAATTCATCCTCAGCTAAATGTTTGTGTGGACGATGTCCCCCCCCCCAATTCCATAAAGAGATTTTTCACAGTATAGATTCCTACTGTGAAGCTGGGTCTGAACTTTAGGAAAGTAGCTGACCAGAGCAGGTGAGTATGTATTCAATGCACTAATGAATGTAAAAGTGATTTACAGAAATATACTGTAACGTTAAGGTGTAAGGTGTACAAAGGATTGAAATCAGAATCAGTAAATATATTTGTGAAATTACACAGCTTTGATGGAGGCTTTGGCCACTGGCAGGAGCCTCAAAAGAGCTTCCTCTGATGCAGAGTATTTCTTTAGGTCGAACACATCCAGATTTTTTTTTGATGACAGCAAGATGAAGACCAGAGCTGACCACTGAGCAGGAGACAATTTATCTGTGGAAAGACTTCCTGAACTCAGGGACTGTTGGATGTCCTCCACTAGAGAATGATCATTCAGTTCATTCAGACAGTGGAACATATTGATGATTCTTTCAGCAGACAGATTCTCACAGAGCTTCTCCTTGATATACTGGACTACCTCCTGATTGGTCTGTAAACTACATCCTATTTCTGTTGGGAGGTCTTGTAGGAGAGTCTGATTGGTCTGCAGGGAAAGACCCAGGAGGAAGCGGAGAAACAGGTCCAGGTGTCCGTTTGGACTCTGTAAGGCCATGTTCACAGCACTTTGGTAGAAGTGTGTCTCTGTACATTCTCTTATTTCAGACGTATTGGAGGTTGTTACTTGATCTTGCAGCAGATTGACTCCAGTGTTGAAGAAAGTCAGATGGACATGAAGAGCAGCCAGAAACTCCTGAATGCTCAGATGGATGAAGCAGAAAACCTTGTCTTGGTACAGTCCTCTCTCTTCTTTAAAGATCTGTGTGAACACTCCTGAGTAAACTGAAGCTGTTCTGATGTCAATGCCACACTCTCTCAGGTCTGATTCATAGAAAATCAAGTTGCCTTTCTGCAGCTGTTCATATGCCAGTTTTCCCAGAGCCTCAATGATTGCCCTAGTCTTTGGATTCCAGTGTGGATCTGTTTCATCCCCTTCATCATACTTGACCTTCTTCATTTTGGCCTGAACCACCAAGAAATAGATGTACATATCAGTCAGGGTCTTCGGCAGCTCTCCTCCCTCTCTGGGTTTTAGTGCATCCTCCAGAACTGTAGCAGTGATCCAGCAGAAGACTGGGATATGGCACATGATGTGAAGGCTCCGTGATGTTTTGATGTGAGAGATGATCCTGCTAGCTTGTTCCTCATCTCTGAATCTCTTCCTGAAATACTCCTCCTTCTGTGTGTCAGTGAACCCTCTGACCTCTGTTATTATGTCAACACACCTAGGAGGGATCTGACTGGTTGCAGCAGGTCGTGTGGTTATCCAGAGGTGAGCATTAGGTAGGAGGTTCCCCCTAAAGAGGTTTACCAGCAGCACATCCATTGAGGCGGCCTTTCTTGGGTCAGTTAGGATTTCAGTGTTGTGGAAATCCAGAGGAAGTCGACACTCATCCAGACCATCAAAGATAAATACAATCTTGAAATCTTCAAAGCTGTAGATTCCTGCTTCTTTGGTTTCGGCAAAGAAGTGATGAACAAGTTCCACCAAGCTAAATCGTTCCTCTTTCAGCACATTTATCTCCCTAAAAGTGATTGGAAATATGAACTGGATGTCCTGGTTGGCTTTCTCTTCTGCCCAATCCAGAGTGAACTTCTGTGTTAATACTGTTTTACCAATGCCAGCAACTCCCTTTGTAAGAAATGTTCTGATTGGTTCATCTTTTCCAGTTGAGGCTTTAAAAAAATCTTCTTGTCTGATTGTTGTTTCAGGTCTGTCTTGTTTCCTGGAGGCCAAATCAATCTGTCTGACCTCATGTTCATCATTGACCTCTGCAGTCCCTCCCTCCGTAATGTACAGCTCTGTGTAGATCTGATTCAGAAAGGTTGAGTTTCCTGCTTTAGCAATCCCTTCAAATACACACTGGAATTTCTTTTTCAGCTTAGATTTAAGTTTACGCTGACAAACCGCAGCCAAAAATTCTGAAAAAAAAGAAAAAAAAATCCCAAATAAGATTTATTAATAAATTATTCTGTAAATAGTCTAACGTTTCAGTCTACTAAAGAATGAGTGTTTGAACATAAGTTGGTCTATCTGCTGACAGATTAATAAATATTCACTGTATCCAGTAACTTAAGTCTTTAGAGAAATCTGCTTACTTTTCTGTAGACAGTCAGCCAACCGCTCCTGCTTCATTCTCATCAGAAAGTACATTGTGATCTTCACAACTGCATCTCTGGTGCTCCGCCTCTCATCCTTATCCTCATCCTCCAACAAATCCCCATCCTCTAACTGATTTTCCAAGTCTTCTGGACAATCTGAGCTCAGAACCCTTTGGATCTTCTTTAACTCTTTCCCAATGAAAGTAAAGATTTCTGACTTGAGCACCTGGAAATGAAAGACACTGAGTGCAGAGTCTAAAAACCTGCAAGTCTAAACAGAGAAATATGCACAATTTTAAGAGCTGAAAAGTACATTTCGATATATACCCACCCTAAATATGAAGTTTAACTGTTTATGATCCTGCGAAGCAGACAGACCCCAGGAAACATTTGAGCCCTTCTGCAGAAGGCTATGGAAAAAAACATAATGTTTAAGTTCTCTAGACATGAGGATGTGCAAAGCTACTGCCGTTTACCCTTCAAAGGAAGAACAAAACATAACAGAGCTATGTACAGGAAATATAAGGAGCTGCTGGATCATTATCAGAAGAAAGTAGAGCTTGCAGTGTGCAAGGGCATAGAGGCTTTGCCGCATCCAGAGTATTGATCTGCAGAGCATTATGCAGAGTACAGCCATCAGAAGCCTACTGAAAAGGTTCCACACCATGATGGATCATAAGGTTAGACATGTTAGGTAGCTGTTTAGAGATGAAATATCATATTAACTGTTATAATATTGGTATAAATATTTAGGCATGCCTCATGCTAGTCTCCAATGACGACCTAGTAGGGAACTACAAGAGGTCAGATTTACAACAAAGCAATATTTTTTCAAAATATGCAAGAAAACTTTTCCCGTTAAAGGTGGACACAAAATACTTGTTTCCTCACTTGAGGGGAAAACACTATCAGCTACAACCAGGCTATAAAGGAGGGGACACTAACAGTTGGTGATGTGTGACTGAAAACCAAAAATCCTTTCTGCACTTGCTACTTCACTCCAAATGGCGGGAAGAGCAAAATGTAGATGCAAAAAACTTGACCTTGAGAACACATCTCGCATATTAGCTTCTTTTCAGTCACATCCTTTTAAATCTATAATCAAATTTAAAATTCTACTCCTTACAAACAAGGCCTTGAATAATCAGGCCCCGTCTTATCTTAAAGAGTTCACAGTAGCACGTCACCCCGCCAAAAAAACCCACACTTTGGGGTGACATGTCACGCCAAAGTGACCACATGTACTGCCGTCTTACAGTACATATGGTTCCGTACAGTATTTATAGGAACGATAGGAGGCAGTCTTCACCTTTCAGGCCCTTCTTCTGTGGAACCAGCTGCCAGTTTGGGAGCTGACAGACACCCTGACTACTTTTAAGAATAGGATGAAAACGTTCAATTTTGATAAAGCATAGAGTTAGTCCTAGATCAGGTGACCCAGAATCCTCCCATCAGTCCCCGTTAGTCTGGAGCTCCATTCAAGATCTTGCCTCATTGAGGATGATTAGGAGAAAGGTGGTGGATGAGCTCAAAACTACTCAGGAGGAGAATGCTAATGATCTGAAGGCAGCTGGAACTAGAGTCACCACGTATGCCATTGATAACACACTAAGCCGCCACCAGTGTTGGTCAAGTTACTTGAAAAAAGTAATCAGTAACTAATTACTGATTATTTCCCCCAAAAAGTAATCCTGTTACTTTACTGATTACTTATTTTCAAAAGTAATTAATTACTTAGTTACTTTTTAAAAACACGATTTACAACCTGAATAGGTGATAAAGCGATAGATCTTTCAGCCCAATTCTACTTTTTCTACATAATCCATCATACAAAATGTAATCAAATGGAAAAGTCTCTTTTTAAAACTTGTTTTATTAGTTTTAATGTTTTAACTTTATGCATCAAGCAAAAATTTAATTATATGCAAAATTCTCTGACTGGAAGAAATTTGTTTAACATTTAAACCTATTTTCTGCACATTTCAGCACATAAAATAAAATATTTTTTGTGTTTACACTCTTTCAAACAGATGTACATAAAACAAAGCAGAAAATAAATAAAGTCAAAGACTAGCGGTCCTGTTGCTCTATTTTCACCTGTAAAGCAGGAGTGGGGTAGGCAGAGGTTTGCCCTGGTGCAGGTGTGCTGCAGCGGTCAGTTGAAGAATCCGCGAGTTTCTCTGTGAATTTCCCATTACGTCGTAGCGCACTCAGTGCTTGCTTGGAAGTTTAGGGGTTTTTTTCGCTGTAAAAAGAAGTTTTCTTCCCACGCACAACGGACGCTAATGTTTTTGTCAATTTTTATGGAATCAAACTTAAAGTAAGGTCAGTACTTCCACGCTTTAAACGCTGCACGCTCATACTCTCTCCCGCACTCGATATGTGATCCATTGTTGATCTGCACACAGCTGTTGTCGCACTCGCTTACCTCACTGTCATGAGACATTCTCACAAAAAAAATTAGTAATGCAGTAATGTAGCGTTCCTACGGAAAAGTAACGGTAATCTAATTACCGTTTTTGCAATAGTAATCCCTTACTTTACTCGTTACTTGAAAAAAAGTAATCAGATTACAGAAACCCGTTACAAATAACGCATTACTGCCCATCTCTGGCCGCCACACTACTTATCCTGCTTACTCAACATTTTGTTTTATATCCCTGCTCTAATCAAGGTAAACTTTTTATATACAGGGTACAGGGAAAAGGTAGAGATTTGATAGGGTGTTCTTGTCTAATATTTTCATGTGTGTGCGCATGCACGGGTTTGTTGGTATGGGTATATATATATATATATATATATATATATATATATATATATATATACATATAAAATTGTAGGTTGTGTATCCTTCAGGTGTTAATGGGGTTATTGAAAATGTGCGTATGTGTGTATATACGTAGGTATGGATAGATAGAAACATATATGTGTATATATTTAAAAAAAAAAAAATTACACATAACTTATAATGTAATTACAAGGAGGTATTTCTGTAGTCTATTGATACTAGATAGTGGAAAAGGGGTGGGATTAAATAAGCTTATGCTTCTTCCTGCTCCTTTTTGAACATGGACGTTATTTGGAGTTGTGGTTGCTCGTTTTCCTTTTGTTTGCTTTGTTCATTTGTCTCTTTCAATTCTATTTTTTTTATACTTTTTCAACATGTTCAAAATAAAGATTCAATCAATCAATATATATTTAATGCTTACCGTACATCAGGATGTTGTTCATCTTTAAACACAACAGGCTTATCCATAGACTTCTCACTTTTCATGGACACACAGCTAGAGTGGTCTGCTCTCTGTTTCTGCATCCTAATAAATACTATAAAAAAAAACAAAAAAAAGAAAGAAAAATATTCCATCAAATTAAATATAACTCATTTGGAAATAATTGTCAGCTTTATATCTCTGCAGTCTGAACTCTCTGAGACAGGAAAAGCAGAATTGTTGAACATGCTCTAAAGATCTGACTGGGCCTGTCGGTATGATCAGTTTCCTCTGAATCACCTTCATGACTGAGTGCAGCACTTTCTTCAGCAGCACCCACAGATTTTTCAATTTTTGTCATCACCTCTCTCAGTACCTCTTCAAAATCCTTCCCACTTAGCTTGGCTATTCCTCACAGTTCACTAAGGTAAGTATCTGTGACACTACCCCCAAATCTCTGGGAATAAACATTTGTCAAAGCATGTACAGAAAGTACTACATTAGGATTTGCAGCTGAGGGGTGGACATAAGGCAACAAGGGTCCTAATGCTTGTACTGCTACTCCCGAGTTATACTCCACTATCTGATCCTTGTTGAATTCAGATACTTGATCATCAATGGTGAGGACCCTACTAATAGAGCCATACTGCTTTAAGAAGTCAAAAATCTCTTCATCCTTTTCTGATCCTGTTACCCCATGCACTATGACAGCATTTGGGACCTTAATACCTAATTTTTCAACAAACTCCATCTTTTAGTGAGACAAAGGGTTTTACCAAAAACTCCCTTACACAAAATACGCTTCACTATCGTTACCGATTAATTCAAGGCTCCTGGCTGGCTGGCCACTTTTACACTGTAACCAGCATGTAACAAAATATATAAACAATGGGCAAATCAGAAGACTTCAGGAGCAGCAGGAGCCTAGAGGATGGGTAACCACAATGAAAACACAACCACAAATGATGAAGCAATTATTCAATTGTATTTGAATTTGTGCACTGTATTGAATTTAACAATAATAACCAAAACTGTGTGCGCGCACACACAATTCTGGTTATTATTGTTAAAAAAAAAGAAAAAAAAAAGAAAATAATGTCAGACCCGGGTCTTTTAAAGTGTCAATAGAATCCAGTTCAGGCCTGTTTGGTGATCTGGCGGTTTATTGGTGTGAGTTCAGTCCACGATCGATGTATGGTTTACACAGTTCATCCTGTTACAATCCAGGCAACCAGACTTCAAGATTCAGTTCCATATGGGCTGTGGCTCACCATCCATTGCAATGGAAGATCATTCCTCTTCTACGGATTTCCACAAAGTCCGTAATCTAAAGTTCTCCGTGGAGTCTCAGCTCCCAAAAAAACCTGACCTAAGAGTGAGGTCAGAATTACTTCAAATGAACATTGTTTACACTTAACTAATAACACTTCTGTTGAAGGTGTAAAGCATGAACAAAATCTGTTTCAATTTCAAGTTCTATTTCTAATGTTGTACAACTAATCAAATTCAAAAGGGTTTTCATTACATGGCAATGTAGCTATCAACAATCATCATTTCATTCATTCATTTATTTATTCATTTCAGGCACAACAAAATACATATATTGAACATAAAGTGCACAAAACAAAAAACAAAAATTACCTGAAAAGGAGTGGGATGAAGAGAACTTATTAAATCCCACCCCTATACTCACTCATCAACAAAAAACAATAAGCTTCCCACAGCTACGCCCATCGTTACAACCAAACAAACCATCAACAGCCCCGGGCACATGCAAGCTTCTCAACGGCAGCTCGCAACAACAATTAGAACCATCATAACTAAATACAGAATATATAATAATTATAAATTGCGTTACCACAGGTAACAGGCAATAATAATTACATAGTGACAAACACACGTGCATATACATACATACATATATATCTACACACACATATACATACATACGCACACACTTTTTTTTTTTTGGAATCCATACCAGCAATGGTAAGAGAACAGACGTTACAGAGCACACTAAAACCATCATTGAGTATACTGTGACCAGACCAACTGTTTGTAGAGGAATTTAAATCTATGAATATTTTTGCATTGTTTCAGTTGTAAACTCAGACTGTTCCAGATTTGCAGTGCTCGTTTCTATACTGTGACTAATGGATTAGTTGTATTTTTATATGTGTTTCCCCACACTTCCACACAATATGTAATATATGGAAGAACCAGGGTACAGTACAGAGTACGAAGTGCATCTTTATCAAGGTATGGTTTCACTTTGTTCAAAACTGCGAGGCTTCTGGAAATTTTGGATTTTATGTGTCTGACGTGTGGTTTCCATGAAATTTTGTTATCAATTACGACTCCCAAAAATTTGTTTTCACTCACATTATCAATTGGTACACCTTCAATGATAATTGGTAATTCTATATTATATTTTAAATTACCGAAAAACATTGCTTTAGTTTTATTTATATTTAATGATAATTTATTTATATCCATCCATTTTTTAAAATTAATTTTAGCTCCCTGTTTACGGTCATTACAAGATCAGTATAATCATCGCTACTGAAAAATATATTGGTGTCATCTGCGAACAGTATGAGCTTAAGTACTTGAGAAAAATCAAAAATATCATTTATGTATACATTGAAAAGTTTTGGTCCCAACACTGACCCTTGGGGAACACCACATGTAATACCAAGTTTCTCTGAGTGGTAATGCCCTATGCTAACATATTGTTCCCGACCCGTTAGGTAACTTTTTAACCAGTTACCAGCTTTCCCTCGAATACCATATATTTCCAATTTATCCAATAAAATTGAGTGATTGATTGTGTCGAAGGCCTTTTTGAGATCAACAAAAATACCAACTGCATATTTATTTTTATCCAGTGCATTGGTAATTTCTTCTACTGCCTCAATTATCGCCATTGAAGTGGTTCTTTGCGTTCTGAAACCATACTGACCAACATTTATTATTTGATGTTTTTCAAGGAATTTTTCTAATCTTGAATTAAAAAGTTTTTCTAAAATTTTTGAGAATTGAGGCAGTAGAGAAATAGGCCTATAATTGGTAAAACTGTGTTTGTCATTACTTTTGTATAGTGGTATTACCTTCGCAATTATCATTTTTTTTTTGGAAAACAACCGGACTGAAATGATAAATTACAGACATATGTTAAGGGACTAGCAATATTCAGAATAACCTGTTTAACTACAGACATATTTATGTCATGATAATCCATTGAAGACTTACTTTTACATTTTAATGTGATATTTATTACTTCTTGCTCATTTGTAGCTGAGAGGAACAGTGAAAAGAGATTTGATTTTATATTACTGATATTTTCATTTTTTTGACACGGGATGTCCGCTGCTAGTTCAGGGCCAACATTTATTAAAAAAATTTATTGAACCCATCGACAATACTACTCATGTTATGATTTTCACCATTTGCATCAATGAAACATTCAGGATATGATGTTCCAGAAGATCCTTGTTTAATTAAGTTATTTAACACATCCCAAGTTCCTTTTATATTGTTTTTATTTTCATATAATCTTCTTCTATAATAAAGTTGTTTACTTGTTCTTATAATATCAGTCAATTTATTTCTATATGCTTTATATCTTTGTTCCACTTCTTTTGTTTTTACTTTGATGAACTGCTTATACGGATTGTTTTTCTTTTTGCAAGCATTGATAATTCCTTTTGTGAACCAAGGACTTTTTATCTTTTTTTTTCTTTGTCTTGTGTTCATTTACAGGACAATGTTTATTGTACAACATAGTGAATATATCTAGGAAATTATCATAAGCCTTGTCCACATCTGACTCTTCATACACCGAACTCCAATCTTGTTGTTCTAAATCGAAATTGAAGGCATGAATTGCTTCTTAATTTATTGTTCGCTTTGCTATCGTAATCTTGGTATCTATTTTTTTTAAATCACAGTCACACAAAGTAAAAACTGGTAAGTGGTCAGTTATATCACAGACAAGCAGGCCACTATTAATTTGGAAATCCATGACATTAGTAAAAATGTTGTCAATAATAGTGGCGCTATGTGATGTTATTCTGCTTGGCTTTGTTATTGTTGGATATAGTGATAAGCTGTACATCGTGTCAGTAAAGTCATCAATGGCTTTTAACCTTGTTGGATTTAGCAAATCAATATTAAAATCACCACAGATAAATAGTAATTTTTGGTTCACCGAAGCAAACATTTTTTCTATCCATTCATAAAAAGTGTCAATACTTGAACTGGGTGTCCGATATATGCAACTTATTATAACATTTCTCTTTTTTTCATTCATGATCTCAATAGTCAAACATTCCAAAATTCCATCAATAGCCATAGACATAGTTGTTACAACATTATATTTTATAGAGTTATGAACATATATAGCAACCCCGCCGCCCGCCCTATTTAATCTATTCATGTATTTTAAATCATATCCACTCAAACAGAAATCTATTCCTTTATCAACGTTGAACCAAGTTTCAGTGATGGCTATAACACTGAAGGGGCGAGAAAATTGTTGCAAGTAGTCCTTAATGAAATCAACATTAGAGTACTTCTGCTGTTAAAGTGAATTAATGAGAGCTTCCAGTCTAGGTTGATTTTTTTTTCATATTGTTCCTGTGTGAAATAATTACAATTTTTAACAAAAGAAGAAAGAAAATTACTTTCAGAATCTATTTCTGGGTCTATTATATTATGCTCCTTATATTCACAATCTAGATCAATTACTTTCTGTTGGAGAATTGATTTCAACGTGTCCATGTCATTTCCTGGTGTAATTAGAGATGTTGGTGTATTTATCATTTGATTGTCATTAGAGTTATATATTGCCTCGATACATTAGTGTCAGTTGTACTTGTCCAGATCCTCCATGTTCCTCACTATCAGTACTTTTGCCTCTTCTGGTGTCCCCTTTAGCTTAATGAAAATTTTACAGTTTGTTACCCACGTATGTTGTATTTTACCGTTCTTCTTCAGTTGCCTTGCCTTCCTCGCGATGTCTGCGTTTTTTCGTGTCAGATGCTCATTAATGAAAACATCCGTGCCTTTCAGTTTGCGTCCTTGTTTCAGCAGTGCGACCTTGTTCTTCCGATT